CCCTGAAACGGACAAAGTGTTCTCAAGCACCATACTCACATCGGTGACAAATGTTTCCAGCCAATGCCTAAGGCTCAGCCCCAAACCCCACTCCTACGCCCTGTGCCCCTAATGTCCATGTCATCTTCAGGACATGCTTTCCATAAAGGGTGGACACATTCTGCACCAGCCTTAAGGTCACCTCTTCAGATCCAATATTTTAACTGCCAGGAAGCAAACACTTGCACATTCAAGGACGTCTGGAAAATGGTATCAAACGATACTATCAAAGTGACAGAGTTAACAAAATAAATTGAGCTATCATGTACATAGTACTTGGCTAATTTTTAAAATGCTAGGCATATGTTAATATTCACAAGAGCCATGACCTGGGTACTACAATTACCCTGATTTTGTAAGCAAAAGCTCAGAGACTCTAAAAGTAATATCCACAAGATCACACATGTAGCCTAGATTTATAGCCAAGCAATTTGCTTCTACAGTACATGCTCTTAAGAACTCGGTGTACTGCCTTATAGTAAATGAAAAATAATTGGAAACAACCTGAGTATCCCGAACAGAGGATTGCTTCAATAAATTAAAGAGCTCCCCTAAAATCTGGCTGAATTTTGGGTGAATGTATATGAAAGAAAAATGACTATGGAGAGGTTCTTTGCAGGGAAGGCTTTCTTGGGGAGACTAGTATTGAACCAGGGTTTGGAAGTCCAGTGAGGGGTAGGGCTTGAGCTACCATCCCCGACAGACCTGTGCCACTCACGGTCCCAGGCAGCAAGGGCCAGAACGGGCTCTGAGCTCAAGATGCTCAGCACTGATTCAAAGTCTAAAGTCACCGTTTCAATCCAGCACTGCTCCTGACTACAGGTGAGCACACTCAAATTCCACTCTCAGGGCCTCAGCTTCTCCATGCATACAGACATGATCGTAACACCTGTCCTGACTTGCTACAACCAGGCCAGAGGTGCAAAGCTCAGGCAAAAGCTTGCGCTACTGACCCCTTGAATGAGCAAGGCTGGCTTTCTCCACTAACCTCCTACAGACCACACCATAGTAAACGCTCTGAAGTTACGTTCGGGGCCAGCTTCATGCGCATGCAACCAGCACAGGCTAAAGGCCACACTCTGAAAGGTCTGCATGCGGGGTTCCATCTCTGTGGTCTGACCCTGAAATGCTTATCACAGAATTTAGCTTTTGTAAGGGATATGCAATGGAACAGTGAGGTGCTGAGAGCTTAGAACTTTTATTCACACATGGGCTGGGCTAACAGCACCTATATGGGTCTGAACCTACCTGGTAAATGTCCTTGTGCCTAAGGAACAATATTCAATAACAAATACAAAATACGATAGGCCAAGAAATAGACCTTGGAAAAAGATAAAAAGCTTTCTTCCCTCTGCTTTATAATTAGGAACTGCTCTACATTTTCATTTGACACCAAACACACAAGTTGAGTAGCCAGCTATGCAGCTGTTAATAGTAATATACCCATAACATAACATCCTCGTAAGAGGTGGGCTTGTTTTATTCCATTTTACCAGTAAGGAAACAGAGCTTAGGGAATATGCTGCCTAAGTAAAACAGCTACAAAGTAGTAGCTGAGTTAGTTTGAACCCAGATCAACTGGAGCTCTACTTGGCCTTAAGGTGTTGTATACGAAGTCAGGTGACCGCACAAGTCAGGAGCTTCCGTCAGGTCAACATTCCACTGCCCACTACCCAGTCACAGCCACCACTCTTCACACCATGGTTAGCCTGACACCGGAGGGAAGGCAGAGTCCACCTGAGGGCCCTCACACCTGGAAATACCTCTTCTGCCCCTGAGAAACACCTGTCTGGTCCAAGGACAAGGATTTCATCTCGTGCATGTTCTACTGTCCCGGAATCTGAGTGGGCCCCAAGAACTCCCTAATACATGTGTCTCAGCATGGCCACTTTCAGGCTCTGTGACTGTTCACTCCTTTTGACTCCCACAGACCCGTTGCCCCATCCTAAAATGGGACTGGGAGAATTACATAAAGTTCTTTACAAACCCAACACAAATGGAAGGTTAGTACACACCACCTGACTTTGCCTGTGTGAGGACGGGACAGAGCTGGCTGTACTCACAATTTGTCTGTGCACGGGGACAGGAGGCAAGGAAGACCACTTCATCTGGGGGAGAGAGGAGGGATGAGCCTCAAGAGAAGCCCAGGGTTCCGTGAAACATCATTTGGCTGCCAAGCTCCTTCCTGGCTCCCAAATACATAAGCAAAACTCACTCTTCACAAAGTGAGTAAGGAGGGGGAAGAGGTCCAGGATAAAGGAAATGATCAAAACGCTAGCAAGTTCAAAAAGGCCAGGATGTCTATCTAGATCAAGGTCTGCTCACAGGATTAACTCACACAGCAACCAAGCTCCCTGCTTAAACTCCCAAATCAGAAACATGGGATTTCTGAACTAGGAAACATGAGCGCAGATGGGGACGGCAAGGTTTGGGCCAACTGCACTGGTATTTTATCTCTTAACCCTCACTCAGAGACAGGTATTACCACTGGCTTTTTTACAGGGTCTCAGAATGGCAAAAAATTAGTACTCAAGAACGTCTTTTAAAATGTGAGTGCTTACTGGGCCATATTCTCCTTTAAGTGCTTCCACTACCTTAAGAGATGCACACTGTATCAGAAGGCAGATGAGATGTCACTACTTCCACCTAACAGGTTAGGAAACAGGCTCAAGAAAGGATTACGCCAAGAAGTCCCATTTCCCCACTTGAGGCCACACGCGATCCTAGAACCACAAAATGCACACAGAGCATAGCTGGCAGGCAGCACAGCACAAAGCCTTTTTAAGCCTCAGTGTCCTCTCCCATACTGTAGCTACAGTCACCAGAGTGACTCCTATGGCCAGGAACTGTGCCAAACATGTATAGCATAACACTGCTTAAACACGTATAACATGTATGTAATCTTTCCCACAGAGCTGGTGACTTTCACTGAAAAACGGTGGCTCAGAATCCTTAGGAAGCCTTCTCAAACCTGTTCTGCTCTCCTCCCATCCCACCGCCGCTGCCAAAGCACTTGCCCACTGAGCGGGGACAGGGTGGACCACCACTTCTGCTTCCTGGTGCCTGTGAGAGGGGAATGCAAAGGGGTGACACGACCCACTGGGTGTGTGTTCAATCCTTCCAGGAAGCTGTTTCCCTTGGCCCAAAGTCCTTCCCTTTTCATTGAAATAATGATTTAGATACTGTACATCCCCATGCAGTTATTCCGAACAGTAGATGCTTCTCCCATTCTATGTACAGTAGAAATCAATCCACCAAAGAGAAGCAGCAATTGGAGGGTACTGAAAGAGGCATCTGCAATCGTCCGCTGTGCTGACCTGATTACAATCACAGCCAGATGTGGCCCAAGCCCGCACACCTCAGCCCAGCTCCTTACAGCAGGGGCTGCCTCACTACGCCCCTTCACAGGGAGCTGAGGAAAAAGAGAACATTCAGCAGAGGCCGTAGGGTGAAGTCCTCTCTAGGGGCAGGGAGCCTCATCATTTGCATTTTGTTCCTCCAATGCCTGGGAAGTTGTAGCCTCTGCATAGACATGCAGAACCTAGGCTGATTCTCATGTAATGAAGGAGCCCAGAATGGGAATTAAAAAACCTGTAGACCCCAGCTGACCCCCAAGCAGCTGTGTGATTTCAGGGAGTCACTTCCGGTGGAACCAAGAAATTCAACCACATGCTCTCTAGAGTGCCTTACAGCTCTGTGTTCTCTGCTGGCCGCAAGGCACTAGGCCATCCTTTTTCATTTATCCTTCTACTTCCTTTCACCCTGCTTCCCTTTTTCTTCTTTCCACTTTTTCTTTCACCCAACCAACAAATATTTCCTACCATGAGCCAGACATTACGCCAGAAGCTGGGAACCCAATGGTGAGCAAAATACAGAAGGAAGGTACTTAAGTGTTTGATTTACTAAATGCTTTACGTGCATAAGAATATTACTTTGTTTTTTATGGTACTGGGGATTGAACTCAGAACCTTGCACTTTTGAGGCAGATGGGGCACAACTGTGCTAAATGTCTGGCCCCAGAATATTTCCAACTTATTTGAAACAAACAAGCTGATCCGCACAGTTTGAATCACCCTCAGTGAGAAGTAGGAGACACAGAGGAAGAGACCCCATTGTACTAAATACTCAAGTCCTTCAATTCTCATAAACAGCTACATTATTATGTGAATGATTCAGATTTAAACAGGCTTTATGAGATTTACTGGTAAGAAGTTCTGTGACAAACCATGTTTATTTCGGTTTACAAATGTGCTTTAAAAAGTCAACCATATAGCCGCATTCATAGTCAGGAAAATGACTTCTGCTTTGGAAGTAGTTTAAAGGCACAGCAATGGCCAATGTGCACAGAAAGACAATGTGGGGGCTGATCAGCAGAAACAGGTGATGATGTCTTCCAATTTACAAAGGTAGGTCAGTTAGAAGCGTCACTGGTGGGAAAGGGCAACACTGATTTGCTATGGTGACGTGATCACAAGAGACTTCCTGCGCTGTGACATCAAAGATATATGCCAAGAGCACATTTTGATTTCTTTTCACAATTTCCTCATGAATTGACTAGGGAAAAGAACAGTTAGGATGGGTCTTGGGATCTGGCTGATAATGACCGAGGATGGGGCTTCAAGTAAAACAGGGAGAAGTGAGCCGACTGATGCTGACAGGCAAGCATTTGGATATAGTTTTCAAAACCCCCTGTAAACTCACCAGAGGGCTCGATGGCATACTCACTAAGAGGTTTGTTCTTAGAACTTCCTCATTTCTCAGCGCTTCATTTTTAAGCCTTTTATGAAAATGCAAAGCATGTTAAATTAAAATACAATAAAAGATTTTAATTCTTGATATCTGTGAAATAACACACTTAAGTGGGTACATTGGATTATATTTTCAGAATTTTAGAAGATAGGGGCAGAGCTCTCAAGTTACTTCAATCATTAACAACCGCAAAGTTGAAAAACTTTTTAAAAAAATAGTGAACACCAAAATAGCTTTTAGTTATTGAAGAGAACATGAAAAGCTTAAGATCTGGAGGTTTCTAAGAGGTGGTTTTAAAAGCATGTTAAATAATACACTAAAACAAAAAAGAACAAGGAAAAAAAAGGTATTTCAGAGGTTAAATCCTGTTATAAATAAACATCATTTCTATAAGTGTATGATTGGCTTCAATAATACTCAAATAATAAAAGCCCATGAATAAAAGGACTTCAGCACTCCTCTTGAATTCGCTATCAAAGAATTTATCCTGCATATGGGCTTTGCAAACAACAACAAAAGCAACCTGAAGCGACTTGGAATATCTACAAACGTGAAACTATTTCTCTAAATCACATTTAATGGCCTTGAGTCCAGGTGAGTAAGAGCTGGCTACAACCTGAAGCTTGTCATCCCGGGGTGGGAGTTATCTGAAGCCAAGGGAGCTTTGCTATATAGGTCATGTGGCTACAAGCATAATATTCTGGAATGTTCTCCTCAATCCAAATACCTACTCACAGTTAAAGACAGGACAAAATTTCTTGAGCATTTCCAAAAATTCACATATAATAGGTAATCACTTCAGAGTTTATATATGCTCCGTTTCCATAAAGCCATAGACTTTACTCTAGAAAGAAGCACATACATGACTTTAATAAACCAAGCATGTTGTGAAAGTTTAGAACACTGAATTAAGTTGTTCTTCACTTGCTTAACAACCAGTTTTACCCATTAGCTGTAAATTATATCCATAACAAAATTATGCGTGTTCTGCAATATATCAAAGACAAATATGCTTGCCTGAGGGCCCCACTAGTCTTTGTTGAAGCTACTATTCTGGGACTTTCCACAAATATCTATTTCTAAATAATTTATTAACTATAACAACTGGGAAGAATTATATGAGCATGTGAATACTTCAGCCAAGTGAAGAAATAAACTTGTACTTTAAACCTGTCATCCTGCCTTTCTAAATGGCCATCTCTTGGCCACCATAAATCCCAGGTGAAATCTCTGTCCTTCAATGTTCTGACAAAGGCTGCTGGACTCGTAGTTCATGTGCAGGTGACTGAGTCTTGTTCTCAATGAGGGAGATCTCCAACACGGGCAGGAGGAGCTGAAAGGCATCTTGGACATAGGAAGCACTGTTTGATGCCTGGCAGGAGTGTAAAAACAAGAAAAAAAAGTCAGTCTCACAGAAAGAAAATACACTAGAGGAAAACAAAAGAACTGATTAATATTTGAAACCCAACTAAATCTGGAGCTTGCCAAATAAACACAGACCTGAGTAATGCAGTAAACTATTACAGGGAAGAAAAGGATCTAGCTCGTAAGATGACACAACAGCATCTCTCAGCATTTTTTTCCAACTTGCCCATCAGAAATGATAGCTGTTCTTTGCAATCCTGCTCACACTCAGCATTCAAAGCTTATTTATTCTCTGACCGAGGGTGTAGATTCTATCAAAGCACCGTAGCCAATTACCGAAAAAGGCTTCAGAAAGGTATGAATCCTGCACCCAGAGGACTTCCAACCCATTAAAACAGCTCTTCTTCCACAATCTCAACGCAATCGATGTAGACGAGACAGCTGCTTACAAACAGTAACAAGCAACACTGCTTTCAGAGATGAAGCAGTCCAGATACACTTCTATCACAGGGACAACAGACGTATTTATGAGAAGTGTTACAGAGTCATTGCGCCCAGCATTTGCCAGACTTCATTTATATCTGACAAGCTCTCACCTTTGATGATAACAACAGTTTATTAACTTAAGATAAAAACATATAATCTCAAGGGAAAGAATGATTCAAATCTGTAAGCAAGAATAATTCACTAAAAACAGTACTAGGAAAGCGATATCAAGGGAAATGACCTTTTTGGATTTGTCAGTGGCTAGTGCTCCTATTTAAAATTCAGTGTGACATTTGATAACTCATCTTCTAGCCAAAAGAAACCTTGGAGATCATTTAGCTCAACCTATTTTGTGCTTGAAAACAGTAAGAATACCAGTAAGGACAAACTCCTAAAGTAGAAGGATACAGCAATCAACAGGACTGGGCCCGTTCTTTGCAAAGTTCTTTCAAGTCTACCACTTCCCACCTGCTAAATAATGAACTTGTATTTTTTAAAAAATTATTTAAACAATCAAAAGAGTTCCCCTGACTAGTCCAAGAAAACTGTGCAGCTAAAGAATTAAATGTATTTCTTTAATGGTAATTCGAAAATAATGTAAAACCAGAGAAGCAATAGTCCAGTAGTTAAATTTTTTTCAATTCATATTTAAAACAGTCAAATGTATCTTATCTCTCTAGAGATATGCTTTAAACATATTACAGTCTATGTTGCTGTCTGTTCAATTAATTTACAAGACAAATTTCTTACACCACACAATCCAGAAACCACCACAGATGCAAGCAATATAACCAAGTAGGCGACCTCTCACACCTCCTCTCCAAGGGACTTAATCCATTCTCCTTAAATCTAACAGACTGAGGAGAATTACGTACACAAGGCATCTTTCTGACAAAATGTATAATCTCAAGGATAAGTGTTTCAAAACGTAAGCCTTCTGACAAGGAAATAACAAAAAGTGATTTGTTTTCTAATACTCTACATAAACCTTAGTCCTTTAGGAAGCAGGGCTTGCCTGTTTGTAATTTTCAGTCCTTCATGCTCACCAGCTGGTCTCCAGAAAGTATCATTACTGAGAAGTGTCCATTAAGGAAGTTGTTAAGGAATAGAGACTAAGCAAAGACAGCCTAGGGCAGTGCTGGCAAACCTATACACCCGAGCTGCAAAGCACTTCTGTGTCACTGAAAGCTCTAAGAGGTTTGTCATCATTGGCCTCATGCTTCTTCCATTCCACTTTACTCAACAGCTTCAACTTGAGGCCTTGCAATTAACGATCAGAGAATATACATCAAATACACACTGTTTTGGTTATATTTGCACCAACATGACTAAACTACAAATCTGGAAGGTGGGGAGTCAAAAACTAAAGATTTCAGAGTTAATTAAAAGGGTTAAAGACTTAAAAACAATTACCACCTACCTCTAAAAATATTGCAGTGATTAATGGGTTAAGGGTGTCTGCCTTTTCTTTGACCTAGAAAAAAGGAAATGGTGTTGTGTTGGTAGAGCATTAAAAAAAGATGGTAGAATATAATTGCATTTTGAAACACACATACACATGAATATAGGCATAGGATGCCTACTGAGAGCACAAAATGTCTCCTCTAGGATATGAAAAAATGTTTATCATTCTGTGCTACCCAAACTGAGAGCGTACTACTTTACAGGTTTTTACTGACTTTTTTAAATATCTTCATTTTGGAAAAGAGAATAGAAGTATATCTTACCACCAACGTTCTAAAAGCTTTAAAACAAAACATATAGATATGGAACATGTATTCAAACAACTCAATGGTTTTTAAGACAGGACATGTGGAGAAGTCTCATTTCATGCAAAGAAACAGTACAAATTGATTCTCACGTGTGTCAGCACTTTCTACTTGACTCAACAGCTAAAGTATCTTTATGGCACACACAAAAAAAGTGTGCCTTATAAGATGAATTTCAGGAAACAAAGGAGGTCTATTAAAGAAAATAATAAGATGCAGGAGAAGTGGGAAGGGTACAGGACAAAAAATAAAGGAAAAGAAAAAAATATGAGAAAAGGAAAAAATGGAATCAAAGTGTAAATAGGGGAGGCTGGAGGGGATGAAGGGAGGGCAGGGGAACAGGGAAAAAATGAGAACCCAGATCCCTCACATAAAGGTACAAGATCCCAATAATGAATGTAACTATACTGTACACTTACAAAGTATCAATAAACTCAATAAAAAGAGAAAAATATTAAGAGAAAAAAGAGAAGCTAGATCACAGGATTCTCCCATACAGCAATAACGTAAACTCAAATTTAAAGCATTATATTTAGGCAATAGTTTCACAACAAATTTAGGGCCCCACAGTAACTCTGCAGCCCCACTTACACGAATACATTTAATCTACAGTTATTTTCATTTGCTTGTTAAAAAGCCTTTGATTTATCCTAATTCATCACTGACTTCTCAATCATCTTCCATAATTCACACAACTTCAGCACATGTTTATTGAGTCCAATTTTTTAAAAAATTTTAGTTAATTGTAGCTCTCTGTAATTGGCTCTCAATGGCCAGTAACTATACAATATAAATGTCACCACTATCTAAGAAGCTACTCTTTAAAAAGCATGCTCAAAACTTGGGGTTTTTATTTTATTAAGATCTATATACCCATTACAGGTCTTACAAGAAGCATACTGAAGACTTCATAAAAAAAAGAACAAAGAGGTGTTGTGAAAATCAGACATACATAAACTGATTCTAAAAGTCATATGGAAATACCTGGGGATACAAATGGTCAAAGCATCTTTTATAAAAAGGAGACAAAAGATGAAGAACTCACATTATTTTATTTGAAACTTACTACAAAGCAAAAGTAGTTAACACAATATGGAACTTATATAAGGACACAAAATATAAATCAATAGAATGTAAAGGAGAGGGCAAAAATAAACCATGTAATGATGGTCAATTTTTATGTATGTATGTATGTATGTATGTATGTATTTATTTATTTATTTATTTATTTATTGCTTGCTTGCTACTGGGATTGAACTCGGGACCTTGCACTTACAAGCCAGGTGGCAGAACCACTGGGCTAAATCCCCAGCCCTGTTCAATTCATCTTTGACAAAAGGGCTAAAACAATTCAATAAAGGAAAGAAAAGTCTTTTTAATAACAAGTTCTGGGACAAGAAGGTATCTACAAGCAAAGAAATGAAAATTCCCTCATACTCAAGAATTAACTCAAAATGGATTACAGATACACAGAAATAAATCTTTATGATCATAATTAGGCAATGATTTCTTAAATATAATACCAAACACAAGTAATGAAGAAAACGTGTTAAGCTCAATTTTGTCAAGATTTTAAAATATTCTTGCAAAGAAAACATCAAAGTGAAACAACAAGCAATGGCTATACCAAATCATGTGCATGCCACAAACAGTGCTACCTCAGTTCATGAACTTAATTCTATAATATACATGCTTATGCTGGCAATTTGGTTGCAACCAGAATCATGATACAAATTCGGGGACCAAAATGGAAAGAATTAAATTCATGAACCAGATGTCATGGTATCTGACAAGTAGTTTGTATCCAGAAAAGATAAAGTACACCTACAATTTATCCATACAGGAAGAGACAGCCTAATTTTAGAAGTGAGCCAGAGGGGCATGGTAGCATGGGGACAGTAGTCCCAGCTCCTTGGGTGGCTGACAAAAGAGGGAGAGCTTGAGCCCAAGAGTTCAGGGCCAGCCTGGGACATTAGTAAGACTTCAACTCTAAAAAGACAGAAAGAAAAAAAAAAAAGGATAAAGGACTTGAAAAGATATTTCTCTGAAGCTACACAGATCTCCAACAAGAACATGAAAATATGTTCCATATCACTAGTCATTAAAGAGACACAAACCAAAGCCACAATGATGTATCACTTTTTATTCAATAAAACAGCTAAAATTAAAAACAGATAATAACAAGGGTTGCTGAGGATGTGGAAAAACTGCAACTCTCATACACTGCTGGTGAGAATGTGAAACTAAGCCGCCACTTGGGAGAGCAATCTGGCAGTTACTCAGTGCACCCCAGCAATTTCACTGTTACCTACCTACTCAAGAGAAATGGGTATTTACATAAAAACTCAAAAGTGGTACCTTGGTTCATGAACTTAATTTGGCCTTCAATTTTGGAAAAGATGGTCACCTAATGCAGAGTTTGCAAACAAAAACAAAATTTTGCCAAATGCTTCTGTTTGGGAACTAAACTGCTTGCAAACAAAAGCACTCGTGAACTGAGAATCCACTGTATATGCATGTTTACAACATTATTCATTTCGGTTAAGTAGAAACAGTCTAAACAGCTATCAACTGAAGGACAAGTAAATAAAATGTGGTCCACAGCCATAAAATGAAGTACTATTCAGTAACAAAAATGCAATATGAATACAAGGAAAAACACGAATAAACCTCAAAAACATTACGCTACATGAATATATTACACACATTAACCCCCTCTCCACATGAAACTGGGAAAGAGGATAGAGAAGGGGGAGAGGGTGGCCTGAGGAGGTTAGTGATCAAATGTGTAGGTACAAACAGAGTGAAAAAAGTCCATAATGCTAAGTAAATGAAACCTGACGCACAATACCACATATTCCACTACATAAAATAAGCATTATTTCCTAGGACCGGGGGAATATGGAGGAAACAGGGAGTGAATGCTAATGCGTAAGGAGGAGATGATGAAACTGTACTTGTCTGCAGACACACTAAATACCACTAACCTGTACACTGGACGTAGGTGACTTTTACCATATATAAACTATGGCTCAATAAAGCTGCTTTAAAAGTCAGAACAGGGCTGGGAATTCAGCTCAGCAGTGTTGCTGCCTGCCTTGCAAGCACCAGGACCTGAGTTCAATTTCAGGTACCAAAAAAACTTTTTTAAAAGTCAGAACAGACACTGGCCCATATGAAGCATGAGTCTTACCCCAGCAATTGTCAGACAGGTGGTGAACTCTTTAGATAGAGAGGACAACTCTTTACACAACACAATCGTCACCCTGGAAAAGAAGGGAGAAAAGTCAGGAGGGTTTTTTCGTCCTTTTTCTCTTTCTTTTTAAAAAATAAGACATACTTAACAACTCTCAGAGGAAAACAAATCACTTCTGGTAATAAACACGATAGGAGAAAGCTTTGAAAGGTATGAATACATCCATTAGCTTGCTGATAAAAACAAATAAAATAAAAGCACTCGTGAACCGAGAATCCACTGTATATGCATGTTTACAACATTATACGTATTCATGTGTTCATTTACTCAGCAAATAGGAAAGGAAAGTCCTCTATGTGTCAGGCACTACACTGAGCACTGGGAATGTATAAACACGCCACTTCCCACTCCTCATGAATCTCACCGGCTCAAGGGGACAGGGCAAACAAGTACCCCCAACACACACAAGTGTGCATATACACATATAAACACACACCTATATGTAAATGTGTGCGCGCTAGGTGGTGAGAACAGCTAAATAAAGAGGAATAAAGGACTGAACAATGGGGGAGGCGCTATTTTAGAGGACTTGATGAAGGAAGGTGGGACGTGAGGGAAGACTTGCATTCAGTAAGAGGACGAGGCAGCCTAGGAGAGCATTCCAAGTGGCAGCAACAGCTACTTCCCATGGGAAGGGTCGGGGAGCTTTGGGCTGTGCGTCTCACCCTTCAGGGCGTTAAAGTTGACACCTGGCGCCCCTTAAGGGCTGCCGCAAAGGGCAAAGGGATGAGGATGCTGCCGCTGAGGAGGAGCCTGGGGACTCCGATGGCTCCTCCTGCTTCTAACACTCCGGGCACTCATCTGGTCCCAAGGAAAATTCTCTTTTAAATCGGGTCTATTTAGAAACTGCTTTTCCTCTCTCTTGTGATTATTTACATTCTGTTTTGAATATTTTTGCTCAAAATTAGAAATATTTTCAGAAAAAGGAATGGGTGTATAACTTATACCTATGTCTAAATCCTGGGCAGACTACTTAACTTTTCTGAATCTATGTTTCCTCTCTTTTAAATATGGACTAATCACATGCGGGGTTTGTAAAACTTAGAAATACACATGAAAATCATGTAGCATGATGCCCGACATATAACTAGTATACATTCAGAAACTAGTAACTATTATAAAGAAATGAGATTCTTAGAATTCTTTTTTGTTTTTACCTAGATCAAATTCCATTCCTATTAAGACTAACAATATGTTAAGAAATAGTTTCCAGAGCATCAGTTAATAAAAAACGCTGAGTTTATACTGTAGACTCACAAGAACACAGTAAGACAAAACAAAACAAAAAAATACCCCAAATGAATAAATCTTTAATGTGCATGTCTGGGATGTCAACAGCATCCTGCTGAAGAGATAGCACTACACTTACTGAGACAGAGTCTGGCTCCTTTCTATGGCTGTTATATCCTGCTTCTGGCCGTGGAGAACCAATGCTGCCGTTTTGTGAAACAGTTCAATGGAGCAGGCAGTGAATTCAGCTAGGGTCCGGATTGCAAATGCATGGATATCCTGGATGAGAAAAAAACAAAACAAAACATTAGGGTCTTCTTCTAATCTATGTGAAAATGACACATCCTTGCTTCTCTTACACTGAAAAATTCAGTATTTTAAAAGTAGAAGAGACTAACAGCGAATGGTAAATAAACATTGTCTTCCTCCATAGCAGGAATATGATTTTACAGATGGGCTCATCAACACAAACACAGTAGCTCTCCTACATTTAAATGTGACTGTTTAACTAAATTCTGGGCCAAAAGCTTTAAACAAAAAGTGCCTGGTGGCAGCTTCTGGGAACCTTCCTCACAACACAACACACATGCACGTTTTTTCTTCACTCTTCCTTTACATTTGGAATTGAGATGCTACAATCTTGGATCACAAAGCTCAAATTATAAACAGTAGTGAAACAAAGTAAAAGCTCACTGGGTCCTCTATAGCAATATCCACATCTCAAAGTTCTGAGGGAGAGAGGAAGTGGGGAGGGGGAGGGGGAACGAAGGGAGGGAGAGAGGGAGGAGGAGAGAAGGAAAGAGGGGCGGTGCTTGTTTTGCTTACCTCTATTGAATTTTTACAGACTTCCTCAGCAGTTTCCGCCTCCGGCTGTTTTTCTCCTTCCTTCTTCTCTGCTACTGTGTTTGTCGGAATTGCTTTGACCCATTCATAAGCAGTATTTCTTGTCTAAATGTAGAAAGATTATTGTCTACAATGACTGAATTCAGTTCACCAAGATGACTGCACAGGATTACACTAGCATCCTGGCAGCTGGTGCTCTTGTTCTCACTACAATATACCATCTAACTTTTCAGTCCTTATCTAGGTAAGAACTCTTGGCAACACTTCACACTGCTATCCACTCGTTCCTTTTTGAACATTTCTAATTATTTGGCTTTTTAAAAAACCTAAGGTATACTTTCCAAAGGTACGAATTCAAGAAATGTTTACCTTTGCATATGCCTGTGAAACTGCAAACCAGATCAAGATTCAGAACACTGTATCAGTTCTGGAAGATCCCCTCATGGGTTCCTTCTTATCCAATCCTGTTCTTGTCCAACTTAGTGTACACAAATGTCAGTTCTGTTTATCCACGAGATGCCTATATCAGTTTTTCATTCTTACTTATTGCTGTGTAATACGCCATGCTCCACAGAGACCACAATTTACCTGTTCTCTTGATAACGAACCTCTGGGTTGTTTATAGTGTTCTTTGCTTCTGTATCACTATTATCATCTGGTTCTCCACCCAACTTTAGGATCATTCCTCTTTTTATAAGAAAATAAAATTTCAAACCAAGTAAGAGAATAACAATAGTTTACACACTGTGTATTGTGATCTTCGAAGTTGTTACTCTGAGTACAAATCTCTCACGTGTTAATCAGACCTGGCCAGTCTTTAAACCCAGTGTTTTCTGGAGTTCCCACCTCTCGTCTCTCTATATTTAACACCTACTCCTTCTCCTTGAACACCTCCATCCTGCAGCAGTGCTTGTTAACGGTCCCTAGCTGCGGCTGTCATAGACCCTTATACACCCACATGCCTGCTGCACATGTGATCTAGATATACTGCAGACATCTCACAGTCAACATGTAAAGAGCTGGAATGGTTTCCTCTTCCTACCATGCACCAGTTACCTGAAGTGAAATATAAGAAGCATTTTAGACTTTTTCTTTCTTCAATTAATCACCAAGAATGGCCTGATTTTACACAAATATCTCTTCATTCCCCAACCTCACCCTACCCATCTTTTTCTCTCTATTACCATCACTTGAGTCCACAGTGGATTTCAACTATTCTCCCTGCTTCTGATCTAGCTCATCTTAAATTTATTTTCTTCGGGCCACAATGCTACCAATGAGCTTACCAGAGCCTGGAGCTAACCTTTCCCCTTCCCACTGACAGTTCCTCATCAATGAGGTCACGCTCCCTCACATCATCTTAACAAGTCCCCACGACCTATACCCTTACTACTTTTTCAACCTCATCTCTTAGCACTTTCCTCTCTATGATATGATAATGACCTGTATCTCTGCCTATTCTTTCTACCCACCACCCAACACAGTCTCCTCCAAGTAACTTTCAAAGGCCTTTCAGTAGAGTAGCCTCCTACACAACCCTTCTATCAATTTCTGGATTCCTCTGGGTAACCCTAAATCTAGTACTTAACCAGAATACCCTTAAAGTAACCATGCAGCAGTTTTCTCACAAACTATGTATTATAGGACAGCTCTCAAGTGTCTGGCTTGGCTTTGCAACCAGTGCCCGGTACACTGTGAAAGAACTACTGTTCTTACCTACATCACATCCCTGTTTCCTTTCTTTTTGTAGCAAGTTCTCAGTTTATATGGTTGGGGTACAAGAACTTATATACCAAGGTTTCAATACTTGTCAAGCGATTCCAATTTAGCTGCTAAGAATATTGGTCCCCCTGTCCTCACAATGAATGGTTCACAGATAAAAACGTGACCAAATCAGGTCAACAGACCCCCAACCCCATGACCTCAGGTAAAATTAGTGGAAAAGGAAAGCCCTATTTCTGCTGGAGTTACTCAACTGGAAAAAAAAAATCAACCTGAAGCTGCCAAAGGTCATCTTACCATCATGTGGAAAATATTCCTTAAGAATGAAGCCAAAACAAAAACTAAAGAAAAGCCAAGGGACAGACAGGTATGAGTTCCTAGGTAGAAAGCTATTGCCAAAAGCCAGTCCCGCCTCTCGATTTTTTTTTTGTTTCTTTGCCTATGGAATTCTCTCGGCTTTTCGTTTGCCAGTTTGATCTCAGTTTTTGTCACCTGCAAATGAGAGAACCCTGGTTTCTCAGGAAATGTTTACTGCCATTAAATAAAGGCATCCACTTGATTAACTTCATATAGAGAAAAAACAGTCTGTTTGGAGCTATAACCAGGAATCCATAAAAATCCTTGGGAGTTATACTAACTCAAAGAACCATAGGTGTGTATATATTAGAGTCATCTTTAAGGACCCTTAGTAGGGCCACACTTAAGACTAAAATATGACTGAGCTAAAGTAGATCCTAAGTAACTAGGCATTCATTTCACACAGGGTCCTTTCCCACAGGACATCACACAAAACCCTTCAAAAATAATTTGGCTCCAATCTAAACCTTCCCATTACTTGAGCCATTAACTTCTCAAGTCCAAAAAGCCAAAGAAAATCTATGACTTACAAGCAAGAAAAGTCAGATGTTGAGCAAACTCTGAGATATCTAGCAAGACCACAGCATAGATTATTGGCACCTATTTATTCATTCATTTATTATACGTATTGCATACTGTGCTACATACTGTGCTTCATTTAGGAATGAATGATACAAACTAAGCGTCTGCTCTTCTTTATTATTGTGAGGAATGCCAATTAATGAGTAAGGAAATAAACAAAAACACACTTGAAGAAAATAAAATGGAGTAACAGAGTATAGAACTGGACCCATGGAGAGAGGCTCAACTTTGGGTGATCAGGTATATCTCACAGGAATAAAATCTGAGCTGAACTCTAAGAGTAATAAGGAATTGGCACACAAATATATAGGCAAAGACAGCAGATCTATAAAGAATTCAGCTTGGTATATTTGAGGAAAAGAACAAAGACTAGCATGAGAAGAATAAAGAGGATGGAGGAATATGAAAGTAGATAAGGTCAGAGTGGTGAGTTTTACAGAGGAAAATAGTGACAGATCCAGCTAGAATCTTATCAAATGATTGAAGGCCCAAACAGTATGTAAAATTGTTTGTAGTTCCTTCATAGAAATAAAATGAGAAAAAAATAGGGATTAATTTATCCGTAATTTAAAGAAAATGGCAAAAAGGCCACATAAAAGAAAAAGAATAAATTTAATATACTGAAAGATTTTTAGTACGCATAGTATATACCCAAAATGATCTGTCTTATAATACACTAGGTGAAGTCATCATGAACTGCTGTGCCAACTCAGATAATTTATTATTATTAACTATCTGCCT